TTAATTTCAAAGGATTTACTCTGAGCATGACTAAATCTGGATCAAACTTCAACAGATTTATTGTGATTGCACCTCTGTAGGTACTAGTCTACAACAGCTTATGCCACAATATATTCATTAGTCTAAGCTTCTGCAAGACCCAAAATCTGCCATACTATGAGCTTACAAATGAAAAACACCCCATCATCACTTAAAAGGAAAGGAGAGCAAAACATGAAGCTTAGTAAAGTAGAACAGGAATTGGAAGTTATATTGGGAATTTCTCAACACTGAGAAAATGAATTCCCTGCTCAGTGCACTGACAGACTGTGCCAACAGCAGTGAAGCTGATGTTGTAGTTGTTTAAAAGTAATAGCAGCAACAACAGCCGAGTGACTTGAGTCCCCACCCCACAATCCAACTCACATTCCCATTCAGTTCTTTAAAGAAATAACCCGATTCTGCTTGGACCACTTTGGAGGCTATTGGATGCAGCTCCCAAGCTTTATACCTTCCATTGACACTTTCATTTTTTAAGGTTTTTCTTTACCAGATACAGATACTATCTGCTGCCAGACTGAAGAAATTAGGTCAAATCTTCTGTCTTGAAAAGAAATGTGTTCACTACAGACACTAATTGGTATCTGACATGTGAACTCTCTGTATTGACAACACCAGTTGACAAGGATAGATCAGAACAGATTGACATCTGGAGGCTAGTCACTCCTAAACACCTTTTGACTTGTGTTGAGTGATTCTTGCACAGCATCTCTGCATTTAGAATCTATTTCTTCATCTTTAGAAAACAACTTCCAATTTACCCAGCTCTTGAACCATGCCTGTGTACTCACATCAAACAACATTTAAATCAGAGGCATAAAACCCATATTCCTTCACATGTTTTGGGCTACAGCCCCCATAACCTTTGACCATTGACCCTGTTGGCTGGGGCTGATGGGAGCTGCAGTGGGCCACAGGTTTCCCTTCCTTGATGTAAACTCTCTGCCATTGTCATTGCTTTGTGAATGAAGCTTCTTTCTTTTTAGGTACTAATGGAAAGCCCCCTGACCCTAAGAAAGAAAGCCAAGACTACTTGGGCTGGATGGATTTTGGACGCCGCAGTGCTGAAGAATATGAGTACTCTTCTTAAAGAGCATCAAATTAGGCTTAAAGGAAATGAAAATCAAGTCCCATTTCTGTACAAAAATTGCACCATTTACAAATCATTGTTTTTAAAAAATCTATGTACTTGATGTAAATGTGTCTAAAACTATACAATGCAATATATATTATATAAACATATGCATAATTTTCAAGAAAAAATATTCTCTTTCTCCTATAGTTTCTTAGCACTCACTGAAGACAAATTAAAAGTGTTTTGCTCATCACTACAAGTGTTGGTCCATGTTGAAATCCACTGCTGAAGAAAAATACTTTCAAGTCTACCATACTCTATTTCTTAATCTGAACAATTTTCAAAGAAGTGTATTTTTTAAAAGTAATGGGGTTGCAGGCTATGGATTTGATCCAGATGTAATCATACTGAAAGTAGACGCACTGTAATCAGTGAACTTAGGGTACAATCCTATGTATGTTCTGATGAAAAAGTTCAAGTGGAAGGGATGCTGGGGTAGTAAGAACTTTTTCTCTTGAAACGTGCATAGAATTGTGCCTTTAGTCACAACTGATTTCAGTCTTGTGGATTTGAATGGATCTACTCTAAGTATAACTAAGTTTGGATCCAACTCAGTCTGTTCAGCTGTTGAGGTGGTAGATGAGCTTTCTCATGAAAAGCATGTTCAGGGTTCCGAGAATCTATTTAAATTCGTGTCAAACAAATCTCAAGTGCAATCATTTTCTTTTGTGAAGCCAATGTGAAAATTCTGCTAAAACTATTAATTCTGGAATAAATGGAACATCCCTTGGCTCGTGGTGACTCATACATTTGTTTTGCAATGCAAGGTGAACCTCCTTACTGCCACTGCACACAACAGAGCGTGCTATTATTTTGCTGTGGTGTGAGGGAAGACAAATGTAGTAATTTCAATATGAGGATCATTATACATTGGGAGAAATCCGGATGTAAAACAAGCCAAAATCAAACAAAATGATAGAATATATTATAGGCATATTTTTCAGTTTCTCATTTCATAAATGCTTTTGCAAAAGTTGAATACATAGTTCTGCTTCTCAAGAGATCAGTGAAATGACATGTAAGAATGACAAAATTCAGAGAGAAGAGCAGAAATGTACTGGGAATAGAATTCTACTCCCACAAGGAAAGGAGCTGAAAAGAAGCTCAAACTCTCCAATAAAGTTGTTCATTGAGACTGACGGTATGAGACTATTTCCAGTTACTGAACTTCTAGCTGAGGCTGTTACAAGAAAGGACCTTACTGTTCTTGAATGATGAGTAGCAGATGGCTAAAAAGAGGGGCTCCTGTACCCCTAATAGCTGTAGAACAAGTGAGAAGACACTAGGCTTGTGAGATCTAGTCTGCTTTTCAGTACAACTCTGAGATTCACAAACCAGAATCAAAAGCAAGAGACATACACGTGGAATTAATGGATCCTGAGACCAGAAATTGTTTCTGACCACCAGGACTGAACACAGCTTTTCAGACAAAAATCCATTCTTGCATGTGTTCTTTCTCTCACTTGGGGACACAAATACACACACTGCTTCATTTCAGCAGTAGATACCTTTCTTCTTTGTTGTTAGATTGTTAGGCCACTGGGAGTCAGAAATCTTTACCCTTCTGCTTCAAAGCACACAGCAATCTTGCTAGGAGTTTCTGTCTACCTTCTGCCCCCTGCCCTCTTGCTACAGAAGGGGGAATTCAGAATGTATCTCAAGCCTGTATAATAAGATGTACCTACCAAAATTCTTTCTCCTATATAAGATATAAGTGATATAGTATAGAGATCCTGTGTGGTGTAGTGGTTAAGAATGAGGGTCTGGGGCAATCTGGGTTCTAGTCCCCACTCAGCCATGGAGTCCACTGGGTAACTCTGGGCCAGTCACAGACTCTCAGTCCAACCTACCTCACAGGGTTGTTGTTGTGGGGATAAGATTGAGACCAGAAAGTCAAGTGATGGAAGCCACTTTAAGTTCTTAAAGAAAAGAAAAAGACAAGATAGAAACCAAACAAACAAAATAAGGGGAGGGGGGAGAGCAGAAAACCTCACGTTCAGGTTGCCTGGAAGTGTTTTTTTCTTTTACCTTGTTGTGGGGCAAGACTACCTGCTGGGCACCTTTTAGCACAGAGATGATCTTAAGTAGAACATCGTTTCAGGCACAGGTCGATGAAGTCAGCTGAGAAAAGAAAGGAAGAATCCCTGGAGAGAGCATTCAAGACATGTAATGCAGCAAAAGATAATCTGCTGGGGCAATTTATCATTCTAAGCTGAATATGTTATTTTGAAGGAGCAGAACTGCTGCCATGTTTGTATTTAGTTTCTGTTTTGGAAAGTAATGAAGTTAAATTGTCTGTGGGGGGTGCACACATGCTTGCCACTTTTTGCCAAAATTTTGGAAGCTTTGTTAGGATGCAGACTTCAGGAAGTTTGCTCAAGAAGCTAGGAGATTATGAAGTTTGCAGGAGGTCATAGACGTGTGCATGAGAGAGTTTGTGGGTTTGAGGAAGCATAAGAAAAAAGAACATTACAAAAATGTAGAATTTGTCATTTTAAACATTGTGGACCCCCCTCCTTTAGGATACTCATCATATGTCTAATATGTCTAACAGCCAATCCCCAGACCACCTTAAGTACATACCTGAGAACCAGAAAGTTTTAAGGCTGGTTTCCTGAAGGCCAGTCATAGGGGTGGAGAGAAATCCTCTTAGTGGTAGTGAAAATAGACTCAGGAAGGAAAGTATTAGGGTTTCTGGTTCTACTAATAGAAGAGGGTGTTGCCTGTTCATAGCAGACATTTACTCTTATTCCACTCTTTTGCACACCCTGAGCTGTTGGATGAGTTGGGATTAAATAAACACAACCTGTCAGGGTTGCCTCTGCTTTCTTGAACCAAAACATTACCACTAATACACATAGCTCCCTTGTACACAAGGCACAAATGCTGTCTAGCATAGTCCAAAATCCAAAATTTAGTCCCCTATTTCCTCTATGTTTATATGCCCATTACTGTTCGCCTGCCACATGCCAGTCCAAGAAGGTTGCTGTGAAGCAGAGTGCAACACTATCTTGCTCACAACACTTTCATCAGGTATTGAGGCTGACTGAGTCATACAGTAAGAATCCAGCATCTAGCCAGACTTCACTGGCCAGAAAAAGGGCCATTTCCACCCCACAACACAGAATTCTCTGCTGACACACCCCAGAAACACAAAACTGCGAAAGTGTGGTGATGGAAGCATATGGAGGAGTGGGTTGTAATCTGAAACTTATTTATGTCTCATAGCTCTACCTGATTCTCGCAAGAGTCTCTGTACTTCACTGCCATTTTTATCTAAAAGAGACATTAATTTTCCCTTTTAAAAAATGGAGGGAGGGGCAGGTAACATCTGTTGGCTACAGAAAATAAAGATTGACTGCAAAGACACTAAAAGCCATTTGGATTATTCCCTCCACCCACCTCTGCACATATAGGAAATTGTTCATTTACTTATTATTCTACAATGCAGGATGAGACATTCTTAACATTCATTTTTCCCTTGCCACCAGTACACAAATGGGGCTACTTTACATGCATCTGTTGCTCAAACGTTTCTACCGAGTTGGAAAGCAAACACCCACATTTCTGTTGCATTCATTACATTCAACACCATCTTGCAAACATGAAGGTTACTTTTTCCTGACATGGCTGGACTCAATTCAGTAAACGACATAAATTCCCGTTTCTGGGCAAGGTGTTAGAGCGGGTGGTGGCAGGACAACTCCAAGCTCTCTTGGATGAAACTGATTATCTGGACCCATTTCAGTCCGGCTTCAGACCCGGGTACGGTACTGAATCTGCCTTGGTCGCCCTGTACGATGACCTGTGCAGGGAGAAGGACAGGGGGAGTGCGTGGTTCTCCTGGACCTCTCAGCGGCTTTCGATACCATCGACCATGGTATCCTTCTGGATAGGCTAGCGGGATTGGGGGTTGGAGGCACTGCTTTACAGTGGTTCCGCTCCTATCTCAACGGCCGGTTCCAGAAGGTGGTGCTGGGGGACTATGGCTCTGCACCATGGCAGCCATGCCATGGAGTTCCGCAGGGGTCCATTTTGTCCCCTTTGCTGTTTAACATCTACATGAAACCACTGGGAGAGGTCATCAGGAGGTGTGGGCTGCGGAATCATCAGTATGCTGATGATACCCAGCTCTACCTCTCATTTTCCACCAATCTAGGCCTGGCCGAGGTAATGGGCTGGATGAGGGCCAATAAACTGAAGCTCAATCCAGACAAGATGGAGGTCCTGTTGGTTAGCGGATCAGGCTTCGGAGAGGGTGAATTGAACTTAGTCCTGAATGGGGTTGCACTCCCTCTTAGGGACAAGGTCTGCAGCCTGGGAGTGCTCCTCGACCCAGAGCTTTCATTGGAAGCTCAGGTGACAGCAGTGGCGAGGAGCGCTTTCCTTCAGCTTCGGCTGATTCATCAGCTGCACCCCTACCTGGAGTACGACTGTCTGGCGACAGTGACACATGCGTTGGTGACTTCCCACCTTGACTTCTGTAACGCGCTCTACGTGGGGCTACCCTTGAAGACAGTCCGGATACTTCAATTGGTTCAAAATAGAGCTGCCAGGCTGCTGACGGGGACTGGGCGTTATGTTCACATGACTGCAGTCCTCCGTCAGCTTCACTGGCTTCCCATTGAAGTCCGGGCCCAATTCAAGGTGTTGGTGATTA